CCTTCAGCACCTGCACGTCCACGATGCTGTTGACAGCGATGCCACTAGCTCCAGAGTAGTACGGACCAATCTGCTTGGGGTTTGTAATTGTGCCTTGGGCCTGCGCAGACGTCACGTCCTGCACACCCATACGAACGTTCAGGAACGAGTCCTCGCTGTACGACTGCCAGATGCTGCCCCCGATGCAGAAACTTTACACAGGTACCGTGCAGATGCAATTGGGAAGAGCTTGACTTTTGCTTGTGATCGCCCTGCGTGGGCAAGCCCGTGGCGTTCTGGACGATCACCACCAGCAAATAGTGTTTTACATCCGCATCCGCCGTAAGCTACGTCTTCGCGTAATAAGTGTGATAGGCTTGATAATCTCACGGATTGAGCTACGCGCTTCACGCTCAAAACCATCAGCACCCTGGTTAGGCGGATCGGACTCCAAGAACATTTTTTCCAACCATCCCCCAGCCGTGCCATCATATTGTGAAGTACACAACACCCAATAGCCCAGTCGATTAATTGTGTCATTTCTTGTTCCGAGCGTAGCTGATTCCGCAACTCACGTAATGAAGACCATCTCCCTTTCAGAATTCCAATTGCGTGCTCATTCCGCACTCTAGACATAGCTAAATAATTGTTGAACTCTGCGTTGTCGGGTTGATCTGCAAGCGGAGATTTGTATGCTGGCAACACAGTCTGCAATAGTGGGTAAGCAGAGTCGGCTAGAAGGAACTCCCCACCATCAAAGAAAAGTTCACTCTCGCGATAGATTTTCATCCGCTTAAACACATTCGAATCAGCGCATGACCCAGGACAGCCGCAATGTACCGCAATAATTCTCTTATCGCTGTCACACACAACCTGCATTGACACTGAATACCTGCAAGGCAAAGCGTTAAATATTTACGAAGCAGGTCCATGCACGCCAATGCCCATACCTTTTCTTTCTATCCCAGTAACTGCTTCCATCTAGTGCTGGGCGTTGTGAGAGGGGCAGTGTAGTGCCATCAATAAAGCCAACGCAGCCAGGGAATCCCTCTGATGCCATAACGCTCGCAACCTCCCGTCGTCTGGCTCGTGACGGCCACGCAATCTATTGCGCACGCACTGCCTTGAGAGCTGCAACGACTCGCTTCGTATACGCTACCACCGACCCAGCAGCTATATTGAACCGCCGGTGAAATTCTCCAACACAAGCAGCATTTCCATTTAATCCGAGCCGGGCGAGTGCAACGGCAATCTGTACACTCGCTGGCCGTTGTTTGTGCGGCGCATCGGTGCCACCGGAATTAAACACAGTGTTCCCTCCGATATAGTCGTGTAGAGCAGCAAACGAAGACTTGGAAACCCGCGTAACCTGCCGGAACTCGTTCTCTGAGAGTGCCAAAAGCTCATCAAACTTGTCGTCTCGGTGTGGGGCTCCTATACGATCGTAGAGATACCTGCTTGTAGCGACGGATAGATATGTCGTCCACAGCATATATCTCTCTTCGGCGTCGTCGCCTACGATACTGAGGGCGCAGGCTGTGTCCAGGTCGCGTAAGAGCTCGCGTCGCTCCGAGTTGTAAGGCATCGAGAAAGGGGGGTCTGCGACGAAAAAATGATTTGATGGAATTTCCAAATGCACCTGCGTCGACGCAGGTGCATTTGGAAAATCGAAATCGGATGCGGTCCAGGTCAAATCAGAGTAGTACACCCGACCAAATCAGAGTGGTACACTCGACCAAATCGAAATCATTTCGCAGGGACGGCCGCGACCAAATAAGACGCTGATTTGCTAATTTTGAAACCCCCTAATGTGTTGATATCGAACTCACAAATACTGATTTGGTGCGCACCTGCTTCATAACAGCGAGTGTTACCGAACTTGATGAATATCCCGAGCTCCCCCGTAGTAAATCCTTTGGTTGACAATGGACGCTTCCGCTGTAAGCACATTTGCCGAAATTCATTGAACCAACTCAAAGTATCCCACCATTTGTTTCTACTTAGAGCAACAGCAATGTCAAGTGCGATAATTGTACACATTCCTCCTGGAGAATCTCCAATTTTGTGGACGTGACCATTCTAACGGCAAAACGCATAAAATGACAGCTTTCCAAAAGATTTAAACATGTCTACGACCTTACAGGCCGCTTCAAAACCGTCTTCGCGTAGGCGTACTCCAGGGTGCCACGAATCAGGCCATCGATGGCCATTGGGTCCATCTCTCCACTGTACTTTATACAAATAAGTACCATTTACAGTCTTCCTGTCGATGATTGCATATACATAGCCTTCATCGGATTCATCGGTGTAGACTTCATCAGACGCACTGTTGTTATCAAGCCCAGTAACAATCTCACGAGAATAGAAAATAGGGGGTGGTGAACTAGTCTTCACCGCTCCAGACTGAACTTCAGATAATTCGTCACTATCGGGGATATCGCTGCCAGAAACACCACCATACCGTAGCTGGATATTGTGAAATTCGAGGTGTACTGATTTGAAACCGCTCTTCTCAAATCTGCCATATCCAGTTTTTCTTGAATTTGAGTGACTCTTTGCAGTAGCGATAGTACGATACGTATTCTTCGCTCTTGAGTGTTTTTGCCTCACGTTAACCCCCACGCACCATCATCTTCAGCCTCTGGGTACGTGTCCATCCTATCGTTCCTCTGCGACTCGCATTGGTCAAGCTAAGGAGGGTACGGACACAGAGGCGAGAAGAAAACGGCCGCCGGTGGCGGTTTAAAGGAAAGTCGGCAGTTGATCGACTGGAAAAAAGAGTCAGATGCCTATCCAACATTGAGCTGCTGCGTGCGCTTACTTGGCTTAGACACATTTCTGGTTTAACGCTTCAGTAATTGGAATTGCGCCACTTTATTAATGAATATTTTGGGGCGAAGAAAAAACTACGGTATGAAGTAAACCGACTTGAGAACAAATCCATCAGCCTTAGACTTATACTTTTACTGCTGTTACAAAATAACAACGTACTTCGAAGAAATGAGAATTCTCTCTAGGAAGGCCACCAGGATAAAGAAGTCAGGAACAACTCAGTAAAACACTTTCCGTCCACTAGGGCGCTACCAGTGGACTGATAGTCGTTTCATCGCTTCAGTCCAATGGTATTCGTTAATGTTTACCCTCCGTGCAGAATTCAAAAAAAGGAATACTGCAGATTAGCATAATTGCTCAGGTTGTCAGCAGAAGTTGGACCAACAGGCTAGTGCCAACGCTTTCTCTGATGGCAGCAGTGTGCTGGTCAACTGATAGGCGTTTTTCCACTATGAGTATAATTTATACTGTATGCTGAACAGTTGTACCCATCCATCAGTGCCCACCCATCCTGCAGATTCTGCAAGTGCAGAATGAACTCTGCCGCTCAGCATAATTATTCACCAAAGAAACCTCCTTCAAAGGAAATAATTGACAAAAAAAAACGAGTTTGAAAATTACACGTTAACCTATACCTTATGTACTTTGTCCGAGTGTCTGTAGTTTTTCAACTTCTGTATGTAGGCTTAATTTTTGCTCAGCTTTGCTCCACCGCAATAGAGCACACCGCAAAAACTGACGTGAATGCATTGACAAAACCACTAAACACAATATATATAATAAATGCAGACAACTGTAATTTCGACACAACGTCGAAAAGAGCTTAATTCTGAGCATCTGTTTAATAGATCTTTTATTTTATTATTTTCTGCATGTTTAAAGGAAGCCACTCTACCCTGTCGTGGACTAACACGCTTGCCTCTAGCGACTCCATATCATTGTATTGCTTATTGGGATAGCTGCCCTCCAACCAAAACATAGTGAGGGCGGTAGTATACTTATTTTTTTCGTTTTAAAATCAGCGAGCCGGATTGGACGTTGTAAAGTGAATATGTCAGCACAACGTGCTGTTACAACAAGGAGGTGGGCGAAAGCAGCTAATGCCCACTTTTTATCTCTTCGAACGCTCCAAGCATGCCACTTTGCGAGTCGCTAGTCTTGAGCTGAGTGAGATCATTGCATTCCTGATAGGATACTCGATAATATGCAGCAACGGAAAAGCCGCGATTTTGTGCAGGTTCCTCATCGTGTTTAGATCTGGCAAATCTACTTAACTGGCTACTGAGGTAAGGCCTTAAGTTTTAACATGGATATGCACTTTCACTCTAGCAGCCACGGCTTCCTTCCCATTGGAAACATAAAAATAATATGAGGCATTATTCGATCTTGCAGGAAAAAAAACAATAGAAATAGAATAGAAGGTCGTACTCTACTTCATCGATAGCGAGAAGTCCAAACACACCCCAGCGCGTTTTAACAGCGTCTACTCGTGTGACCTGTACCGCAGAGATCCCAGCCAAACCTGCTTACTTTTTTTTATTGTTTTTGAGTGTTTTCTATCTTTATTTTGTTTATTCTTGTACTTTTTCTCGAAAAAAACTCAAAGCAAAGTGGCCTGTCAAACATATTGTAACATGTTTCCCCACCTTTGCACAATCCTCGGGGGTCAAACGAACAAATGCATTAATGAGAGCTTATGCACTGACCATCAGCTCGACCCGAAAAGGGACGAGGAGAGCGGTGCCCCCCTTTAATCGCTCCACTAATGTAGCGTCGTACCACCTGTAGGACCTTCACCATGTTCACTGAAAGGAAGTTGACGGACTCCTTGCAAAGCCTGGTATAGGTATTGAATGTATGAGAGACTCAGTGGGTGTGAAGATGGATCGTAAGTGCATCCGCGCCGGAGTGGTACATGTATGTAGCTCCCGCGGTGCGGAAGGAATGCGAGCTCAACCGATCGAGATCTTTGCCCATGTAAGCTGCAGCGGTCTTGATGGCTATGGACACGTTCGGTCGATTTCAGGCTGGTTGTCCCCAAGTTGACATGCAGGCAGTTGTTGGGATGTCCACAGGGAGGTCCTTCCAAGTTTGGAGGAGGATGAGAACCCCGAATGCTGGACACAGTAACTGATGACTGGAGCGATATAACATCCCAGTGTTAGGAGCACCATTTGGATATGTTTCGGGGCCGGTCAGACTCACCCATACGGTCTGAGCTTGTACTGGACGCTGAGTGGGCTGTCCCCGACGAATCTACAATCACAATGTCCTGAGCTCGTAACGCAAACAGCTTTAGGGATCCACCCCAGATGGCCACAGTCTCCAATCGTACGAACGCCAAGCACATTAGCCCCCAAAGGGCTTGGTCACGGGAATGATCAATGGGTACGCCCCGAAAGCGATACGGGTATCGTACAGTGTCGGAGTGTGGTAATCCCTTTGATAAGCATGCGGACGTGCGGGTGTTCAAGCGAAAATTCACAGCGTGATACAGCAAAGAAACGGCGAACGTCGTGAAACTCGCCGAGATGGAAACTGATCTGGAACCACGTAAAATGAAGTACGAAATCCACTGCACTTGGTTGGTCAGTGTCGTACCATAGGACCAGGGAAAATACCTCTGCGCGAAGACTATCTTCTCCTCTTATACAGGGCTCGTTTGTACTGGTCAAACATAGCGCGGAGATACGATACCAGATATCTGTTAGACCCTCGGTATCCATGACTGGGGACACCTGCGACCACCGCAAGCCTTCTCGCACGTCGTCTGATACAGAACCGCTCTGGCAGCATTGCAGCTGAGCCTCGCGTTGGTGGAGCCGCTGTTGGAGCCGCCTTACACCCCGGATACATGTCGCTAAATACTGTAAGCTACCCATCCGTGATCTATACCCTTTCTGAGTAAGAGATGCCGAGCAATAGGATGAAGCAACGATCACGAGCGCCGTTTGGATATTGGAGACGGACAGTGCTACAGATTCATCGAAGGTGGCGAACTCGAGACCAAGAGCTCACTGCCGCGTCTTCCACTCGGTGATCGTTTCCATGGTCTTGGCATGAGCACCCACAATGACCACCATTGCGTACCGGAGAGAGCGGTTCATGTCATGACATGCGGTGACAATCTCTGCAGCTCACACCTCGTAAACTCAGCGTGCTTGCTCGTGCGCAGAGGAGGAGGATCCGTCATATTGTGTGCAGTGGTAGATTTTCACAGCTCGCCGCCGGTGGTGACGTCGACAACGTCGAGTGTACTAGCCGTAGTCTAGGGGCTGAACCCGCCCTAGACGGCGGCGAGGTGGGAGCGCTGGTAGCCTCTGTTATAGCTTGAGTGCTCATTGGTTGTTCCTCATATGCGAACTGAGGTAGAGTTCCATGTGTGGTCCGCAGCAAGTGTGGAAGGGTTTGTATCGGTACGGTACCAGAATACAGACATTGGAAGTTGATGTGGGCAACACGAAATGTTATGCCTTCCAGATGTAATATCGCCCCGATTTATTACCTAGAATGAGGACGGTCGGTGCATAGAACAGGCGTATTAAAAAGAATGAGATTGGAAAAGACAGACCTGGCATTATTATATGTCCTTGATTTGCGTTAACAACATTCGCAAAAAGAGTCGTTTTATAGGATACCTGTATCGATTTGTCGAAATCGACAACAAGCTCTTGATTTGGCTGGTCCTATTGCGGCTTATTAGCCACTCGAACTAAATTTATTAGTTCCTTTTACTATATTTATAAGAATAAACGACCTTAATTTATTGCAAATTGTGTGTCCAGTTAACTGAAGAAGGACTAATGCTGTGCCGCGCCCGGGAAGCTCTGGATATTTGAATACTTGATATTTAATATTAAAATATTTGTCAATACGAAGAAACTGAAGCGCGAATAAGAATGGGCTTCCCACTTCGCCAACGACACTGGACCTTTTTACTTTTTCTCAGTTAAGAATTTGATATCTGCCGTCTCTAAATCCATTTTGAAACGTCTCCCAGTGTTCATTTCGCATTGAGTACATGTGCTGCATCGAAATGCATGTATATCTGAAGCTGGACGCATGACATTTGAGTGGTTGTATTTACTAACAGCTCCGTCGTTCTAGTGGCCTAAGTTCAAGCCATAAGGGAAGTGGTCAATTCGAGGCCGGTTTGCAGGTGCAATTTTCGGAAAGGCACTGCGTCGGACTCCAGCCTCGGAAGTCATAAGTTTTGACAGTTCTGGAAACCTCCAGAATCCCTCTTTTTTTAAGGAGATGATTGGTACATAATATGACAGTGTTGCTCGCAGTATTGTTACTTAAAGAAACCACTGGAATTGTGGCGGAGGTTCTATTAAAGGTCGGAATTAGACTTGTCTTGAGTAAATTCATTGGTACACCAGCATCAGGGGTAGGCCTACTAGAACGGTGCATATCGATCGTATTTAAGTCTTTATCATAGGTTACTAGGTTTGAAAGGTGATGCCATTTGGAAAGGACTGTATTTCCAAAAGCACGCGGACACAGACAGCGCTCGAAATGTCGAGCGGGGCGCCGGCCCTGCTCGAGTCCCCAGAGCTCGCTGCCACCCGGAGAACCTCGTACGGCTGCTCATGCGTCATGGCTAGCGACTCCCACTTTTTGCTGAAGCCAAGTCCTCCTGTGTGACCGCCCGGCAGGGTGGGGGTAACGCTGCCGGATTGACAGACGCACAGATTCGACCAATTTGGTAGGGCAATCTTTTAGTTCCACATACTTATGAGGTCGTACGACAATTGATGTGCCTAAACTACTGTAGAATCTACAATATCACTGCCAGTGTCAACGCTTGGCGACATCGAGGTCGTCTTCTTGGAAGGCTTAGCACCTGAACTACTCGTGTTCGCGTGTTTGCGGCCTTTAGCTCTCGATCTGGCGGTGGACGCTTCAATTTCCTGTAAGACCTCATGTGCCAAGTGCCGTCCGCCGACGGAAACGAGCTTGCGCTTCTGGCCGTGGTCTTTGCTTGGTGGAGTTGGAATTGTGAGGATCTCGTCTTCGACAAGTGCCTTCATATGCAGCCATGTGGCAAGCAGGACGTGGCGAGGCGCCCCATTTCGTGTGAAATTGTTCAAACGGGCACCCATCTTAACTAAAGACAAGGGAAACAGTCTACAAGCTTTGAACCCTGTCTTAACATTTCGACCGATCCGAGCCCCTCGCCAGGCCATGCTAGCCACTTGAATCGCATCGTCTTTGCTAATGTTGTAGTATCCGTTCTCGTCTTCCTCCACGAGCTCCCCAAGCAGAGTTTGTATCTTGCTCTTCAGTGTAGCGAAAACGGCTACGTCTAATGGCTGCAGAAGGTGCGTGACGTTCGGGGGCAGGAAAACCAGCAATACGTTCAGATGCTCTGCTGCAGCAAGCACCTCTTCCGAGTAGTGAGATCCGCATCCATCCAAAATCAGCACAAGTGGACGCGCAATGGAATCAGGCACTGCGCTTGCAAAGAACTTCAGCCATCGCTCAAAAAGGGTGGTATTCATAAAGCCCGAGGCTGAAGTCGTGACCCCAGCGCCTTTTGCCTCGCAATTCTCCATCGGTCCAGGTGAAACGGGCTTTCCAGGCAAAACAAAAGCCGGCGGTATTACAAAGCCAGTAGCATTTCCACACGCGACAATTGTGAGGTGAAAATGAGCTGTAGGTTGTGTACTCCAAACGTTACTCGATCCACGAACAGCGACTCTTTCTTGCTCTTGAGTTGCTTCTGAAAAGCTGTTTCGTCCATATTAAAGACCCTCGCGCTGTCCAGTTTCAGCTCAACGATAAGCTTTGCCAGGGTGTTGAAAAGCGTAGTTAGATTAGCATGAACAACAAAGTTACGCTTGATGGCAAGCGACTGGGCGGATCGCACGGTCAGCGCTGGATGGCGCTTTTTAAAGCCCTTGTACCAACCGTGGCCCACACGTTCGCCGCAGCCCAGCAAGCCCACTTCCTGCGCCTTTCGTATGATTACGGCCCGCTCGACTGGGTGGCCAATGAGCTGTCATCCTACCACCCAGTCGTTTAGATGGTCTTCTGCTGCTTTCGGTAAGAACGTTTTGGGCCCAGGCCGTCCGGCTTTCAGTGACTTGCTCTCCGCTAGTGCTTGTAGCCACTTTCGAATAGTTCTCTCATGAACGCCAGTAACAGCGGCGACATCAACCGCTGTACTGCCGGCTTGAACTTGAGCGATTGTTGCTTGCTTAAAGTCCACCGTGTAGGTAGGTGCCATTGAGCTGGTTTGGAAACGAAAGCTGCTAGAGTAACGCTGCTTCCTGGCAGTGATCGCTCTCCCGCCAGCAGTTTGGATTTCGCGCCAAATCTGTATAAATTTCTGTGAGTTTCGTACTTAGTTGTATATCTACAAATGACATGCTGGGAATCGTAATACAGCGTATGCATTGGCTAATATCACACCGGCCTCGAATAGATCCACCGGCCTCGAATTGGAAGATTTCCTTAAGGTAGCTTGAATGTGACTGGATCCCATTCGTACAAGGTTGCTAAAATGTTGTTCTAGGCCGACTGGGTCAACATTCACCCTTTTGGGCATACAAGAAAACAGTTTATTTGTTTCTGCGTCATTTTAGCATATTAATATTCGCTCTTAGGTTTCAAATATTTACCGATATTGTCACGAGTTCTTCAAGACGCAAATCGCGGACAACATCAACAGCGGAATTTGGGTCTTGAAGATAAAGATTTAAAACGGTAAAAGCGGCATCTGGGCTCCGCTATAAGCTTTGGAACTTGAAGATGAACTCGAGCTTGAAGTTGCTGCTCAAGTCCTGTTCTGTATATTGCATAAAGAGTAGTGTAAGTAGGCAGTGGAAACTAGCTAGCGAACACAACAAACTCAATCAGATCTCAATTTACCCTCAAGTGCTAACAGTCAACTTCGACGGCATCTTGCCTAAGTGCTGAAGCACTACGAATTCCTCTGCTTAGTTGCTACCATACACAATAAGTGACGACTTATTGCGAGATAGTAGAAATTGCTGACCAACGACCAAGATGGAAACCAGAAGCCATGCTGAGCGACGCCTCGCGATTGAAGACGGCACTCG